CCCCCTCTGCGCCCACTCCTCCAAGCCACCCCTACCCCCCCCTCTCTCACTCACACTCACTCACACCCACCTCCCATACCCACTCCGACCGTTGACCCCCAGCCCGACACTTTTATGGAACCCCCTTCTGTTTTGTGGGCGAAGCCGCAACAGGTGCCCTTGTCAGATAATTAAAAACTCATGAAAAAAGTTTAAAAAAATAATAAAATTGTTTAAGCCCCGAAATAAAGTGAAAAAAAAGAAATCGCGTGTGGTCGAGCACGTTTTGACACCTCCATCTTTGGAGATTTTCTTTTTTTTTTGGCTTAGCAAAATCACTTCAAAATTTATAGGCATGTACCTAACATCGTAGAGAACGCACAAAACAAAATTCAGAACACGGCAACCATGGGTATGCGTTGTGGATGTGGAGCTTGTCCGGCATGCCCCAAGGAGGAGTGCCTGCTGGCGGTGGGTGTGGCGCGTTGTGTGTGATAAATGGATACTTGGAGCGCTGGTGCATCTCTCCTGTTATACGCTATATGCAACCAAGATCAGGGCGTGATTGGTGCTGCTGGTCTCAGATATGGAGCTTTATTTTTCAATGACATATTGATATTGCCAAAGTTTTTCTTTCCATCGAGACAACTGTGAGCTTCCTTGATTAGCACGGATTGGGTTTCCTGTACGCTGAGTCGCTTGGCCAGGGGAATTGTGGTTTCCCGTACGTCTTGTTCCTTTGCCAAGGAAAACTATGTGCTGACTTGCTGAAGACGAGTGGCGCGCAGCTATCATGCTATCTGTCCTGACCTGTTTGGGCTGCCTTGCCAACACTCACTGTACCTTCCTCTTGACTAGCCCCCATGTCACTTACTGTCTCTATGTACCTTGCTCACTAAACCTATTTCAGCCATACCTTCCTCTTGACTAGCCCCCATGTCACTCACTGTCTCTATGTACCTTGCTCCCTAAACCTATTTCGGCTATACAATGTAGCCTCAATCCTCCTAGCGCCTTCTACCCTGCATCGACTTTCCTTTTCCTGTACTCTTTTTTTTTTTTTTTTTTTTTTTTTTGATGTCTCTGATGTATTGTGATGTATTGTGATGTCTGTTCACCCATCCCGCCTAGGAGTTGTTGTTTTTTTTTTTCTCATCTGCATTCAAACTGCTTCGTCATGCTTATGCACGTGCCCTTGATCTGACTGGACAAACTCGATAAGCAGGCATATGCATGTGCGCCTGATCTGAGTATTCATTCCTTTATTCAGTCAATCCAATCAATGGTTGTCCTCACTGACTCCTCAGGTTACTAAGTTGAAGGGCAAGGATAAGGATTGGGAAAAGGTTCTCGAGACGTATCTTGAAGGCAAAGTGACCAGGTACGTGCCATAAACACCAGCATGTGCCGTAAGCCTGTAACAAGATAATCACCATGGACTACAATGGACCTTTTGTGATCCCCTTTAGCTATCAACTTATCTTTTCTTTTCTTTTTTTTGTGTATTCTCTTTTGTCTATTTTGATGGCATTTGATAATAATGAAGCAGTTACAGAAATCAGGAAACCACCACAAACGTCGCCTTCTTTTTTCTTTTTCGCAGTTTTTTCTCTTTTTTTCCCCCTGTGAGATTCAGAAAACCACCAGCATAAATATTCACTCTTGTAGTTGCATTGTTCCAAAGGGACGCTGAGGCCTGACCAACTTTCCGGGTTGAGATGTGGAGGGATTCCCAGCCTTCTTTTGACAGTGGCATTGGTTTATCAACTTTATCTGTGGGATGTGTCATTTGCTTTCTTCCTTTGTTTTTTCTTTGACCTTTCTCCTTCTCTTGGCTCTGTGAGGTCTGGTTTCCTCGTCCTTGTGACACATGGGGATGGGGGCAGCCAGCGCTCAACCTGTCATCCACGTGGCTGGCCTTGTACGTAAGAGGTGATGGACAGGTGGGCCTTTCCTTCCTTACTTCTTTTCCTTTCCTCGTTTCCCTTTTTTTTTTTTTTTTTTTCTTTTTTTTTCGCCTTCACGCTCTGATTCACAGTGTGAAAATATATATATTCAGCCTCCTGATGAGTCGGTGAAACTCCGACGAAACAGTTTGTCACAGCCCCTCGTTCGTTGTCCTCTTCTCTCTCTCTGCCTACGGTTCACCGGGCAGTTCTGTTTGTGACGATATATATATACGATATATATATATATATATATATATATATATATATCGTCACAAACAGAACTGCCCGGTGAACCGTAGGCAGAGAGGGAGAAGAGGACAACAAACGAGGGGCTGTGACAAACTGTTTCGACGGAGTTTCACCGACTATATATATATATATATATTTGACGATATATATATATATATATACAGCCTCCTGATGAGTCGGTGAAACTCCGACGAAACAGTTTGTCACAGCCCCTCGTTTGTTGTCCTCTTCTCTCTCTCTGCCTACGGTTTACCGGGCAGTTCTATTTG